CCGGTTAAGTTACCCGTAGTGGAGCAAGTCTTTTTATTTAAAGGGATACCAACTCAGCCTCCCTTTTTTCTCTCTTAAGAGATTATTTCATCCCTCTTTCATCGTACCTCTTAAGGAAGACCTATCGGCTAACCACGATTCAGGCAACCACCACCTACTTCAGCCCCTGCCCCCCCCCCCGCCCTCCTTTATCCTCAACCTATTTTACCTCATTCCATCATTTCTTCGTCTCTCCCTTAGTCCCTTCCACCACCCTCATTTTCTTTATCCCTTCCTGAGTCCCTCCTACTCCCCGCCCCCGCGACTTCTTACAAGCCGGCTTCCTCAAAACCGCGCTCCAATCCCTGGCTTTATTTTTCCACGAAACGAACAGCTCGGCCCCGACGCCGACGCCGACGCCCGGACTTCACGAAAATCGCGACGCTCCCTCTGACAAACGTCACTGCTCGGCTTACGAGCATCTTGATGAACACCTCAATCAAAACGTTTCGCCTGAGGGTACCACGGAGTCGAGCGTTCGGATAGGACAGGAGAATCTATGTGGCGCGATGAGGAAAGGAAGAAAATCGAAATAGAGCGCAGACGGAAGTGACGGTTAAATGACAAAACGAAATAGGCTTTAGGATCAAACAATTTATGGTAACGCAGGCAGTCGCGAGACATAACTTAACTTATCATGACTTTACGACCTCGCTCTCATGCAAACCCATCCATCCTGTATTCCTATGTAAGTAGGAATATCCGTGCGATATCAGCAACACTAGCAGCTACCAACATCGGACATAAGGAGCGTCCATGCCGCGTCCATGCCGCGTCCCAACGTCTCGAGGGATTTGAGAAACGTGCGAATCGGCCTGTCCGCGCGTGATTCGCCCACTCACCGCACTCGCCCGTTCAGCTGTTCACTCGACGGGATAGATTGATATCGGGTTTGCCCGATGATTCAAGAGAAACGGGCTATTTCAGTCACAGCTTTTTTTTTACGATCCACCCCACCGGGAATATCCTACTCCCGTCGCGACGCGCACGTCGATACGCGACTCGTAACGAGCGTACGGATTTTTCAGTAAAACTTTTTTCTACCCTTCCCCCTCCCCAACCTCCTCTCTATATCTCGTCGAAACTAGAACGCCAGCTACAATTTACACAGAGAAATCCATTAGCGATCGTACACCCGGTGCGTAGGCGAATGCTGTCAAGTTACTTGTCAATGTTGATCAAAAAAATTTCCACGGTAACAAACTTAATAAATTAGTGGGACAGGTAGGGAACAATACATTTTTTTTATGATATATATTTCGAGGTAAAGTCTATGTACACGTGTTTCTACGTAATGACGAAGACATTATCGGAAACGGTCATTACGACTAGTTCAACGGAAATGAGACTCTCGTTCGAATTGATCCATTATCGATTTATCGAAATCTGTCCCATGGACTTTGGTGGACTTATAAATTGGACCTACTTATGCCCGTGTTCTTCGCCGAAGGAAAATCTTCAGGATTTCTATACTCGCATTATACAGCAGGTCTCTAGGTACAGTATGGTATAGTGTGGAGAACGTTTAAACTTTTTAAGCCCACAGTGGAAACCCTCGCTACCGCGGGACTCCGCCAAAGAGTTTATATTCGCATTTACAAAAGGAAAGTTACGTAGGTTGTCGAGGACAAAAAAATGTATTAGAGGATCGGGGTAAAGGAAATCGAAGGTAATATCTTGGAATAAAGGGAAAACGTATTTTGGGATCACACGTTATATAGGGGACAGAGGGCGGAGATGTTTGATCGCGAGTGGACACGACACAATTATTTGCTCGGTGATTAATCACCTAATAATACTGTCTTGAAGTCTGAATAGAGTCGTCAAAAGATGGATGAAATATTATTTAAGTGATACTGCTTCAGTAAACTATATCACCAAGAGCTTTCGGTGTTATCAGTGCCTATAGAACATTTATTTCGTCTACGTAAATGCGATATAGAGTTGTCAGCAGGTTACACGTGTCGTACATAGGGGATGACAGCCTTATACAATTTGAACATATATACGTATACGGTAGCAGTAAGAGTGATATGGCTTACTAAAGAAATCCCTTGATTTATACACGTATGAAATTTAAATATTAACAGCGCCATAGATTTACTTTTGATTCTTGTTGTATCGGTCACCGTACTGTGTAGCTCTGGCTGCATCGCGTGCAGCTTTCATTTAATTGGCATCTTTATTACGACGTAACGGCCGACGACTGCATTCGGCCATTAAATCATTTTGCCAGGTTGCTGAGCAATCGCCTCTACTGAATTCTGCTAATTGAGCCGCTGATTGGCGGAAATCCAACCTGTTCGGCTGACCGGATTGAATGCAGGTCATTAACGCGTTTAAAATTCCTCTGATTCACGAAACAGATGGGACTTGTCTTTGAGTCGAATTCAGCATTCGGGATGCTCCATTGGAATGCTGTAGGCTACTTCACTTCTGTGTATTACTATCTGTATTGAAATACAGGGTTATTCGGTAGAAAAAGTAGTAATCAAATGGAGAGACCAGAATGATGGTTTAGAATATGGCAATGTACGATAACTGAATAAGACCAGTGGTGTACCACACGACGATGAAAGTAGGTACAGTGGGTAGATACCTAGGCAGACGTATTCGTGCAGTCGAGGCTACTCGTTAATTCGATCGTCGATATAGAAATACTCGGCGAAGGTTTTAAGCTCAGCTTAAACGGCAGCCAATAACAGCGGCATCCACGCAAAGTTACTTCATTGTGGAAACCAGACTGTGAAAACATTGTTCGCAATTTAATTAAGATCGGACGGGACGGAGCGCTGCAAATTGTTTGAATTCAGCTCCTCCAACGCGGTATAGGAATGACGTAAGGTAGGTAAAATTCCAAGCGGAAAGAACGTGGTATGAATTCATCTTAAAAGCATCCACTGGTGTTTTTTTTTCATTTTTTTTACATTTTTTTTTTTTTAATTTTCTAAATTCGCCTGTCAAATATCAATTTCCACGACTAGCAGTGCTAACCTAAAATATCTCTGCTGTACACAGAGAGAAACTAACCCATCGTAAATTGATCATTAATTCTTAAAGACCGCAAACTGGATTAATTGACTCGATTAGATTAATGTATTTGCACGGGTCCGATTAAACTTTTCCAAAATTTCTCCGATAACACTCCAGAAAATCAAGTACTGAAGTTTAACCTAAAAACTTTTAGCCCTGTTGGGATTTGGTCATAGAGTTATGGGGTAGACCCACGTAATAATTCCCAGGCAATATTTTCATCGAGATATTTTTTTTCTAGGATATTTATCAGTGATAAAAAATTTTGAAAGAGATTGATCCGCTATCAACTCCTGAATCTCTATTCGTCCTCGAGAATATGCAGGAGAGAGATTTTCCCTGAAATCAGACTACAGGAGAATAGCTATACTCACGCTGAAAAGGGGACAAAATTGTATTCCACGTGAGCACTCACCTTCCGCAGATTCCGATTGGCCAGAGGTTGAAGAGACCGGACTGGAAATTGGCGTATATATCGAATCGGATAATTTCAGCTGGAATCTAACCTGAATTCTGTGCTCGTCCGTGTCTAAATGCCAGCATTACTAAAACCACGGAGCCACCGTGAAGTTGGCTCTATAACAAGAAAATCGAAATATCTACATTAGGTCGAACACTTTAGAAAAGCGTCACGATCGAAATGCATCCGAGCTCCCTGCGCTCTCTTGATTAATTCTCCGCGACTGTTTAACGCGTAACATTTCAAATTCACCAGAACCCACTAAATGCATTAATATCGGCGAGAGGTAAGAATTTATACCGTTTTAAATTTTCAAACTAGTTTAATGAAACTTGGCTGCGCCAAAGCAAGTGAACAAATAAGTTAACCTATGAACTTTACTGCTACACATTTTTCCCGTTGCATGTATTTTCATTCCTGAACTTCCTTCACGTTCCGCCAACATTTTCAAGCCGATGTTCGGTAATGCATTGCCAGTGCTATCTAGAGAGAGCGAGTCGAACCTGGGTAAGAAAAGCCAATTGCCGGTTCCCAGTAAAGAACATAGACCGACAGTAGCTATAACCAGCTCCACCTACTACTTTCCTATACGATACGTAAAGCATTCGCAAAGAAAGAGAGGAGGACATACGTAATGCCCAAGCCTGGAGAAGCGGCATGAGATTTGCATCACAAATCCTTCCGTTTAGTTCGTAGTTGCACCTATGGGTAATGACGACGCCCGAGCGTCCATAAAGAACGACGAACGATCAGGTAGACCGTGAACGAGAATTGCGATAGGACGGGATACGGTGCACCGAGAGTAAAACGGGCATAGCACAAAGATAGCGTGAGTAAGAGGGACAGCCAAAGGGATAAAGGGAAAAAAAAAAAAAAAATAGAGATACAATACGTAACGGCTAAGGCACGGGATACTCCAGTACGTTTTGTTGTAGGCTCGTTTGCCTTGCACGGGCTATCGAATGCACACAAAAGCTTCCTACTCCGAGTGCGAGTGAGGGTGAAAGCAGGGATGCCATAATAAAGGCGATGCATCCTCTATCGAGGGATGCCTCGTGCCAGTACAGGTACACTTCACGTTGCAGCCTTCTGCTGCAACTCGCGCTTCACTTGGCTTCGCCTTTTTTCCGCAACGCGTCGCTTCTCATCGTGTCTCGTTCTAAGCCCTTAATATATTATCGTTACGCGCGTGAGCTGCTACAAAAATACGATCGTGCCACTGCGATATATATATACACATAAATATATACATATATAACAATGTAAAGCTAGTCGAGTATACGAGACTTGTAATACAGGGTGTATGTATAGCTACTGCGAGAGCCTTGTATCATACACGAGACACGTTATCCACCCTGTGAAGTACGATAAAACTTAGGAGGATCACAGCTTCGCTGGTACAGATATATTATGTGTGCTCTCTGGACTTAGTTTTGTCTCGAATTGACGGGGCTTCTCCTGATTCCAGGTGAAACGATGTAGGCCCTTCCCTGGCGAAGCTTCCAGGACGATGCGAAGACATGCTCGAGGTCGGCGGCAACTGGTGGCAACACTGAGACGAGGACTTGATATTGGATTGGGAAGACGTCGCTGCATGTCAGACCGACAACGAGATTGCTTCTGGTGTTGCTGTACGATGAGGATATCCATAGCCACGTAATGGCCAGGGTTACCCTTAACATGCGGCTCTACGATCTACGTCTTCTTCATCTCCGAGAGTTTCTCCTGGTGCTGATTCCTCTGCTGCGTCTCACCGGCACGTTCGCCTTGGATCTGGGTAAGTCGAGTCAGCCAGTCATCCATAGCAACCAGCCAGAGCCAGCTAGCAAGATATCCATCTGTCATGTTTGCGTCTTGCTGCTCGTTCGCGCGGATTTTACGACTTCCGGAATATCGTAGCTCGTGATCCCGTCGGGAGCCGCACGTGGCTTGGCTGTTGAATCGATCCTGTACTAAATTTGCGCCTCCCTTAACTTTACACTCGCGACCACTCGTGCCTCTTCCGGTAGATGAATTTTCACTACGGCAACGCTGTACGCTTCAATTTCTTCGAAAGTCGAAGGGCTGCGCGTGTGCCATTGGTTGGCTGGTATCAACATTGAAAAATCAATTTTTCCCTAAGAATTCAGTAGAGTCGAACAGAGTACCCTGATCCACGTGGATGGTCAACTGCGAGTTAATGCCCACGACATTTGATACTCGTCCAGCTGCGATCCACTCTGGCCCTGCGAAGTGCTCCAGGCGGAGTCCAAATGGGGTACTTTTAAGTAGATGGATAGTAAAATATAAAAGAATGAGATGGCACGGACAAAATTAAAGGATAAGAAGAAGAAAAGAAGAAGAGGAAAGTGATCTCGCTCGTATCGCAAGCTATACGCAATCCTGACGGATATAGGTACTTCCCTGTCGGCGGAGTCATAGCTCATCGAGCGCCATTTTGCCAGAGGCACCACCGCCCGAACGACAATAAGTTCGCGCAAGAGATTCCCTATTTATTTTTGTCAGACGCTGTAATATCGTCGGATCCGTCGTATAAGCCCGTGGAAAAATCATCCGTAGCCCCGTAAATGTTGCTGAGGATTTTGACTTTTTTTTTATCTTCGCCCTCTTCAATTCACATGTACACGTGCTTTAGCGTTCTCTCTTCTTGCTCCTTCCTTTACCACTAACCACTCTTTGGAACGGTCTGGCACTCTCTTCTCTCTCTCTCTCTCTCTCTTCTTCAATCTCAGAGAACTACGCAATAATGGCGTATACGCTATGTATTGTACCGGGTGGGTATACCCATCCACCTGCCGCTCTATTGTACCGCCGCAAATGAAATGTCAGCCGCACGATGAATTAACAATACTATCTAATAGCTGCTCAGAGGCAGACAAGTGAGCATTGTATTCAGTCGTTCTTGTGCGAGATCTGTTGTTTAACACTGACCCCCCTATGTTTTTATGTAAATTAATAACATCGAAAATGACGTACTTCGCCACTCCTTCCCTACCGGATGCTGTACTACGAAGGTCTATCCCCAGGATAGACCCTAGTACATCATTTCATATTTCAAGTGGACAGGTACCGTACTTGCTAATTTCTCTCGTGGTAGAGATTCTCTATAAAATAATCACGTAACAGGAGATCCTCGTGGTGGCTGCTATTCCCAAAACGAATGTAGCCTGATGGTTTACTAATTATTTTGGGGCATCAGAGTCCGTTCGGTGTTCTTAGAAATTGACTAAGGGCACCGCGTATATAATTCATCCCCGTAGTTTGTCCTAGTAAATTTCGGGACTTCTTACAGAACAGGGTAGGAGGAACCGGGACTACAGTGGAAGAGGAACGGCCGCTTGGGCTCAGAGTCTACGTGAAAGAGAGGTTGCTACAAACACCGCTAAAGTTGCGCTCGCTAATGCTAGGTCGAGAGCCGGCCAGCCCGGGAGCTGGTTCACGGGGCTCGGTCCGAGGCCGGCTAATCCCACGTCCGCTGCATTCTGCAGTTTTGAAACTTTCCGCCGTAACCTTAACTGTAGCAGCCCTAGCTTAAGCGCAACGGCATTGCTGTGCCCTCGCCAATTTATCATAGAAACGTCCGACGTTTCCGGAGTGGGACGGGCACGGTGTACCGCCATGTTCCCATTGGGCCGATCGCCAGGAGACACTGGATCAAGGCGCACTGGATCGACCCTAGGCGTTGTTCTATATTAGCAGATATTAAAATTGACAAATCTTAGTGACGATGGTACACGTGTCATTTTTATAATCAGTCCCTCACGAAAACACCATGACTTCTTATGGGGTGTTGTAACCTTGACTTAAAGATATATATATAGAACTCAATTTACAAAAGCAGTCCTCGTCGACGCGTGAAAAGCTATAAAATCCTAATGCATAATCCGCGTTGGGTCGAAGGGGCGATTGTCGCTGAACCTGCCAGCACCCTTAGGAACCCATAAGGCATATCGAACATGGGCATGCGTGTCGTAGAAATTATTAATCGTAACAGTCTGCTCGCCTGTAGTCGCGAGGACAATGTCGACTTGGTCGTACCGGGAAGAGAAGTAGGTGACGCGGCTTAGGGCTGGTTTTCATGCTACCCAGGGTGTATACGAAGGTAAGGAGGAAAACTGTAGCTTCGCCCTAGGCAAATCTCCTACAGCGTTTCATACTTCTGTACCCCCTACGTCCTTTAAGGTTGTAGATTCCCTTCGTATCTAAACACGTACTAACTACGTCTGACAGAATGACAAACACGCAGGTACACTCAACTTCGGAGCAGCCAACCCACGTGCAATTCTACAGCTTAATATGAACTACAATACTAATTGTTTCAGCACAATGCACTTCGGCTCTGGGTATGGAGACTGGTGAAATTCCTGATGAAGACATCTCAGCTAGTTCCATGTACGACCCCAGTCTTGGTCCCAAACATGCCAGGTAAGCGAACAATTATATCTCTCTCACTCTGTATATGTGTATATATACATTGTCCGAATGCATTTTCGCGTTGTCGGACACCTTGATCCGACATCCCACGAAAATGAATTCTCGTCCCATTCACTCTTACGTATTTTCAGTTCTCTATTTCTATGAATTATCCGTAACGACGTTCCCGGTCAATTTATTGCACTTGATTGATTATTGGCAAACGTGATATGGACAGAATTCTCATTAATAATTCCTTCGTTAATTACGGTCCATCGAGTTCACGTGGCTCACGTACGACAAATTATGCTCATTCACGATCTTTCTCAAGTTGGCACAATGAAGATCGCTGTAGACCGTAAACTGCAAGATACACACCAGTTCCGAGTAAGGGCCACCCTTACAAATTACCTCCAATTTCGTGTAAATTCCTCTAGCTTGTCTCAGCATAATACCTGTATTAGGCGCCCGGCAGAAGCTCTTACGCCGCAATAAATCTGTATTAGAGCAAGTATTTTCGCAAAGGATATATTAGACCAGGGACGAGGCGGTTTATTTTTTCTTCTACCTTCCGTTCCTTTCTTGCTCTTCACGATAATTAAACACTTTGAACAGGGTACTTTTTTTTTTCTTCATTTACGGATATAAGAAAATAGAGGGAAAACAAAACTGGAGTATACTTAGACGTATATCTGACTACATATGTGAAATGCAATATGCTTTGCCTACCTAATGCACACAGGGCGTCCTATGCGCACTTTAACCGTATTCCCATTACACCTATCCCATTGATATATTAATATCCGTTAAAGCGTATTCAAACCATCATGGAGTCGTCAGGATAAAAATGATAACGAATAATATTTCGTAAATATATTTCGTTGCCCTCAGTTTTATCGTTAGTTTCATTAGTTGCAATTCTTTTTCACGCTATCTCACCGTGAACGATACCCAGAGGAAAATCAGTAAAATTTAAATTCTGTATGACGCAACACCGATGATTTACCGAATTTCGAGTGGAGATGTCATACGCCGTCCATTGCGTTTACGTTTTCCGCAAAACAGCTAGATCAGCAGGTAACGAACGTTGCTATTATAGGATATCCCTTTGAGCTATTCGATGAGACCCAAACCTATGCAGTCTGGTATGATGCGCGCTAATGATTGCCGATAAATTCAATAGATACCACTGTTATCTGTTACGGTGGATGTGCATACCCGTAATTTTTAAAAAATATCAAAAAAATTGCCATTTGACGTATTTCGTCGTCTATCGACTTTGACTTTGAGCGTAAGACACGGGTCACGCCGGAGAGACTGCTGCTGAATAAATAAGAAACTTATAAATTCCGCATGCGGAAAAGCGTCTTGAGGTGAAAAAGCTCGACGGTAAAAAGTTTGGGAATGACTCGAGGTAGCCATACGTATCGGTTAAACTGACGATGACAGGGGTTCCAGGGCTTAGATCAGGGATCTGAAAGGACGTGCATATATATATACCATATATATATAACGTGCGATTCAAGACTCGAGGGAAGACACGAGGGACATTGGAAATCCGAGAAAGAATCACGCACACGTAGCGTATAGCTTTCAGCGTGGTAGGAAAAATGGTCGACATATTCTTGCTCAGGTACCTATCTTCCACTTTGTATGGTTCGAAAACGTCGGGCCCATGCACACCACCTGATGATTTATGGGTGGCTCTTTTAGTCGTATCACGCAAATAACGTGATACATTCATGTAGGCACAATCGGGGATACATCATATTGTGTTCTGAAAATGTCCCCCTGCCGCTATGCTCGCGTGACGACACTTTGGCATAAATCTTCGGCTCTAAGGTACCCACACGTAACCGGGCAGCCAACCGAGGGGTGTACCAGGCCAGCCAGTCAGCCAGCCAACAGTGCGACAGAACGTACGAGCCAGAGACCTGCCTGGCACCTATATACCTCCTCTACTACATGACACGGATATAAGTGAACGAAGGAGTTGAGCGCGGATGAGAGAGAAAGTTAGGGGATGATTTTCACTAGGAGGAAACGAAGAACGAACGAAGGGAGAATGAGAAGCGAAGATGCAAGAGAGAGAGAGAGAGGGAGGCAAAGATCCAGCAACCAGAGCAGCAACTTCTCTGTGCGGGACTCGGGCCAAGAATGGGAATTCTTTTGATAACAAAACATGCATTGCCAAAGGGGAGATATTCTGCCTACCCCTACCTATCCACACCCCACTCGCTTCTCACAATATTCTTGCTCGCGCATAATAGGACTTTTCAGAAGGACATAAAGAGGCGCATAAATTGGAAGAGGCATTACGCCTACCCCTTTATAAAGCACTGCGTGTCTAAGCAGGGACACTCCTCAACCCTGTAGAACCGTTCATCCCCCTCTTCACTCCGGCACAAGAATCCCAACTCAAAATGGAACGTCAACCAGAATCGTTCGGAGTACCTATATTGTGTACACCCTCGGCTACCCCTTTTCACCGCCATAAAAAAAAAAAAGTAGACCATCGACGCGTAGCTATCTGCACCCCAATGTAATCAACCCCTTACAATGCTCTTAAGAGCTCGACTAACCTTCTGCCCGACTAGCCCATTGCGTGTAGACAATTTTGTATTGTTCTCATGTACCTTGTACTTCCTCGGGATTACCTATCTCTGCAATAAAGATGATCATATTTTTTATTCAGTCCTAAAGAATTAGTCCTACACAAGAGCGAAGCATTGAGAGATTTACTAAACAAATGTATCTTACCGTGTTTAATAGGACGGTCCGGGGACTCTTGAAAAGCTCTCGCCTCGCGATACCAATCGGCGTTGGTCATCGCGCGTGCCTTTGCTGCTTTACTTCGCGTAATTCAAATGTCCCATTCTAAACGAGGACTTCTCTTTGTACGAAATGATTCACTCCGTGGCGGAGACCCCCCAGCGAGTTGCGATAAGGCGCTCGCGCTTTGGCACGGCATTTTACCTTAGCTAAATTAACATATTCGTTAAAGGGGGACTGGGTCATTTCGAGTGAGGCTTTATTTATTTATACAGGACATTATGGAACGACTATTTAATTGTGTACGTATATCACGCCTATCTAAGAAAAGTAATTGGAGCAGATATTTACACTCGTCACGAAGATCGATACTGGGTTACTCGATATACCTGTTCCAATAAATAATAAGAATATTTTATACCTCCAAATGTTACGCAGGCTGTTACATTGTTTTGATAGTTTATGTGACCATTTGCATAACTCTATGGCTAATCTTTTGGGTAGTGTACTTTATTGAGAAAAAATTAAGTATCGATTATTGAATATCGATATTTACGATTTTTTGGGGTCACGCGACTCTCCTACCTCTCTCCCAAGTTATATCAGAAGAACGGAACTGTCCGTCTTGAAGATTTTATCGGAGCCACAAGTCCGGAAAGGTCTTTGTCCGTCCTTACTTCTATGTTTGATGTACCGATAGAAAATCCCCATTGACACGAAGGTACCTACCCTTCTGGCTCTATTATTCCCTATCGATTCTACGAGGTATTTCGTACAGCAGTAACGTCATAAAGATCCTATATCATATTTTGCATGTTTTCTGTAGAATCGCCTGATAGTAGGTTCACGATTTCTCTTTTACGATCTAGTAAATACACGTGGAATATATGTATATATGACTGGACGTTATTACTCCCAATAGCACCGAGTAGTTTCTCCAATCTGAAAACACTTACTAAAGTTCCTTTTATACGAACGAACCTTTATTCTCGAACGCACTTTGCTCCGTTTATATATACGGTGGTCGCGAAGTAAGCAAGCTTGCACAAATTGAAAAGGGACCCATCTTCCATTTGCAGATTGAGCTTGAGTCCTCGGGACGATTCCTTAAACCTCTTTGGATATATAATAGCATAGATTATCTCGAAATAGTTTCTGCCTTGGTGAAGGTAAAATCTAAAATCCAATGACGGAAGAGTCATATAAGGAATGAAGGGTTAAAGATCATATGAAAATAATGATACGTGATATTAAAGAATTCTGAATAAATATCGTGGAAACTTCATAAAAATCTTTTAGATATTCTCGGATAGATAACCGGGTATTAGATTTTCCTTGGTCTTGGAATTTCTAGTAAGCTTTTCCTTTTTCATATTCACCTCATTCTCTCTCTCTCTCTCTCTCTCTCTCTCTTTCTCCGCCCCCTGTTATCCGACGAGTGGCGAAGGAAAGGTCGCGCCGTAAAATGAGACGGGCCAGCGAGAATTTTCACGGGTCATTTACCCGATGGCGTATTCGACACCGCATTCCGGGCATATTCCTTTCTCCGCCCCCTGTTATCCGATTGGAATTTCTAGTAAGCTTTTCCTTTTTCATATTCACCTCATTCTCTCTCTCTCTCTCTCTCTCTCTTTCTCCGCCCCCTGTTATCCGACGAGTGGCGAAGGAAAGGTCGCGCCGTAAAATGAGACGGGCCAGCGAGAATTTTCACGGGTCATTTACCCGATGGCGTATTCGACACCGCATTCCGGGCATATTCGATAACCGAGCGTGCCTGCTCGAGATTGCTGCTCGGCGCACTCGCGTTATATTCGCTTATAACGCTCGTAAATGTAGTTCGTAAATTTTGCAGGCTGTATCAAAAGTTTTCGTCGCGGAAAAGCTGCTCGCTTTGGTCGAAACGTATACGGCAGATTATATATATATGTATATACACATACCTATACAGTACGGTAATACACGTAGGGGCTGTTATCGGACACGAGAAAAACAGGGCATTCCAGTTGCATCGTCCAGAGGGATATTAAAAAAAACTTGCCTTTCGGACGCCGTGACGTCGAGTGGGGATTACAGAGATATACCATACTACATATGTTTCCGAATGGGCAGATAGAAGAAAAATCTGTACACTGTACCGCGTAGAATGAAACTGAGGAATCCCGAGTGAACGGTGAAAAGTAGCTTACATTAAAATGTACATAATAATTGCACGGCGACGATACGAATACGAGGAAGTAAACGAGCAAAGCAATCGGGCCAGTCGTTTAGGGGTAATTAGGTGGCTGGGTGGGTAGGGTGGTCCCTGTCAATGGCTCGTAACGCAACCTATCTTGTCCGAGTAGCATGATTCTCTTAACGAGTGCCGGCAACCGCCGTTATCATCTGAATAGCCGTATTATGGAAAAAATTTAATTAGTTTTTACCGGGCACGTAGCCATAAGATAATAGAAGAAAGCAGCCCCACGGTGCACGCTGAATATGAATATACTCACCGCCAGGTGGCAATAGCGTTTTCCCCTAGTTGGAAACGATGCTCCTTGCTGTGGGAAATTGCCTGGCAGTCCCACCCATCTACCTCCCCCCCCCCCCCCCCA